ACACTGCCAGCTTCCATTCTTCACCTCATAATAAAAGCCTAGGGGTGGTGGTGTGTGTGCTGGGCCGTACTGTACACACGCACCCTTTGATCCCTCTTCTGGATGGCAGGGAGCTCTGTTTGGCTGAACTATGGGAATAATCAGGGTGTGTATTGCACTCAGGTGAAGGATGGATGCTGACAGAAACCAGGCTGCTGGATGTGAAACTGGTCTGATTGGGATGTTGGAAGGTTGGAGCTTTTTGCTTACATTTTATGCATTGTCTGTACTATGTGTGTATGTGTGTATTTCTGTCTCCCTCTGGGGGAAAAAATCTAGTCTATCTTCAACCCTCAGCTGTTTCAGCAAGTTTACAATGCCCCTGTAAACCTTCTCACTAAGTTTCTGAGAGAATGATTCCACATTCATGATGGGGGTCGGGATTTTTTCGATTTTCATTACAAGATAAAAATTCATGATACTGGTAATGGGGTAATGGCGTGATATGTACAGAAATATCGAGAGAAAGAAAATTCTCAGTTAAATTAAAGTTTTATTGTGTGTTTTGTCTTTTTTTGGCAAATTATTTACACTAAACTATAACGCTGGCAACCAGTGGTAAGGTGCATTACCACATCTACTGTGCTGGACTGTGAACCACACAGTGGGAATGGAGGGAAACAGATAATTCAAGATCTGGTTATGGAAGCCGTGAAATGCAAGGGACTTTTTCCACATCAGTTTATCGTTTAAAAATGTTTTTCCACCTGTGAAAACAAAACAAACAAAAATTTAAGCTTACAGAAGATTATCTTGAAATAAAACATTTCACCTTTTTTCACAGAATTAAAGTATTAAGTTAAGTATTTTAGTAAGAAAAATGGTCATGACGAAAAACAAATTTGCCTTGCAGGGCTTACATAGCCAGTGGATTATTTACACAATATTATCATATTGATATTATTAACACAATATCAATAAATCATTTTCAAATTATCATCAATATCGGTATATTCTGACATCCTTAATTCATGTTATTGCCAACAAATCCCATGACAATACAGAGGAAGAATATTTCAGACTGACTCTTAAACCCACCCTGTATATATGCATTACATTAATGCACTCCTGTTTTCTGTACAGCTTTCTTATCTTTTCTTGTCTTTCTTATCTTTATTTATTTATATTTTAAAAGTACTTTATTCTTGTGTGATTTTTGTGTGATTTGTATATTTTAATCACCATTGCACCAAGACAAATTCCTCGTATGTGTAAAAACCTACCTGGCAATAAATCTGATTCTGATTCTGATTTTAAAGAAGATATATCAGGCTCTGATACACACACAGTACATTGTTGGTTTTAACCTTTTCGTGGGACTTGTTGACGAGGGAAAATGTACAGTAATGCCAGACATTTTAAGAAAAAAGATTTTAGAATGGCCTCTATAGTAAGTTGGCTTATGATGATAATGGTGGTACAGAGTTTGATGAGTTGTTTAGAAGCAGCATGCCGTCCTTGGGAAGAAGTTTTAAAAGTACACCAAAATGTGCACTATAGTCTTCATTATGCTTGTCAGAGTTATTATATTATATATCATAATACAAATGCAAATGCATACACTGTAAAAAAGAAACGTCAGAAAAGAAACTCATCATTTCAAGGCGACTGTCTTCAATACATTTTTTAAGTTTTAAGTCACACTCAAACTTTTATGTTTTGAAAAAATCTGAAAAGAGTTTTGCCGGCCAATAATTTTTTGTTGAGAAAATTAACTTTTTTTCTTTAGAAAAACTTAAAGTTTAGAGTGAGCTGTGAACTGAAAACTTAAGTTTTTCTAAAACTTTTCTAAAGAAGAAAAGTAATCATTAATTATTACTAGTTTATTAAACTAGTCTTGAGTTTGACTTAAATTTGACTTGAAAAATTCATGGGGTCAGTTGCCTTGAAATTATGAGTTTTCTCAGCTTTCTTATTTACAGTGCAGTAGACAGGTGTAGATAAGTTGAATGTTTTTAACATAATACATAAAATATGAAATACTACGAAAAAAAATAAATAAAAATAAAGTTGATAAGTGGATCTTGACGTTTTTTTTTATTTATGTTATGCATGTCAAAGTACTGTTTCCAAGGTACTTTCATGCTCTGCTTTTAACGGCTTATACTGTTGGGTAGTTCCAAATATTATAATATATACAATTATATTTATATTTGATGTAAAATATGAATCTATAATGTTACTTGAGCCATTAAATAAATAGTAGTAGTGGAATCAAACGTAGAATATGTCTCTCTAAAATTCAGAGTGATGTATAGAGTAGCATCAAAAGTGCCACAAAGTTATATTTAAAGGGCCAGTTCACAGTCTGTCTTAATATTTTATAAAATTAATTTAGTTAATAATTATTAAAATTCAGGAAGGTAGGTAGAGCAGTAGGACATGCAGCTCCACACACTTCCTGGTACAGACACTGGCCCCAGGGATATTTAACTGATGGAAATGACTGCTCCTCCATATGCTTTCTGCTCCTCCACACCACATGGGACAGAGGGGTTGGTCATCAGGCTGCCTACGCACAGCTGCCTCAAGCTGCCAGAGACAAGCAGGAGCTGCTGGTAATGGGCTGATGTACCTTTCAGAATTAAGGCATATTTGAATCACACAGGAAAGTAGTTGAACATGAGATGTACACAATAAAAACGTCACAGCTGCTTGCTCGGTGGAAGGTAGAGATACCAATTCAAGAACTGACCAAGGACAATACGTACACATTGATGAGCCAGAGTTTGCCAGTATCTCCCTTTGCATTACACGTTAATGATAATTCAAACGTATGTTCCAAAACAGTCAGCTACAATGTTCACTTGTCCTACATATGACATAAACAGAAAAGAATTAACCCTGTTTATGTATGTTAGCTGTCTTGCAACCAAATATAACATTCCACTGAATAAACTAGCCCTTGATAAATTAAGTATAATACAAACAAAGGTTGTAATGGACTTCTCAGCACAATTTTGGCCTCGGCTGACAGCCGACGAAGATAGGAGGGTTGAGTCTCATTCCCACCCAAAGCGTTGGTATTTGAAAGTCTGAGAATGAGACTCATCAATCAACTATCTTTCTTGATTGGTTGTTTTCATTCGGCCCGTGGAGTCTTGTCTTGCAAAGTGCCATTAGGAGCACTAGGAGCGAGCCAGAGGAACCTGATTGTTTCAACCATTATCTGTCTCATGTTCTACTGTCAGGTATAGTGAAATTTCAGCAGATATGACAAACAGTTATTTTTGTCATGTTTAAGTTACCTAATTGCAGCTTTAACGTTTATCACATTGGAACAACAAGGGAGGGCAGAGTTGTGTTGAGGGAAGACTAAAAAAATGTGATGTACGTGTATGTGTTTTTACTTTTGAAAAAGTGATACGCGGAAGTCGATTTTGTGTCGTAACTTGACCTGGTCCCAAGTTGGTGTCAGTCCAGGCAGACGGCTGTGTGCCGCTCGGAGCTGAGACGCTTTACCCGGATGAAGAAAGGTACGCCGCGGTTGCGGGTCCGTGTGACGCACTCTGCGTCTCTGTCGGTCTCTGTCAGTCCTTTTGGGACGTTTCCGTGTTGGACTCGGGGTGTGGACTCTAGGTGCTCGGTGGATGATAAGGGCTTGTATTTGGAGAATACCTGGTTGCATCCCATATGAAGCGCATAGACCTACCGCCCCCTCAAAAAAGGTAAGGTGTTTATTTCTGCCCGAAACGGACTCTCAACGATCAGGCTGAAGCACGCCATTGAACCTACTGCTGCTGCCGGCCGGGTGAGACCGCTCACTGCCGATTCAGCCTCGTCGGGTCTCGGTGCCGCCTGAATCCGCATGAGCGCATTAACCGCCGTGGAAGCGTCGCTTACGTTTAGAAACTTAGACAAAGCGCTGTGATCTCCCACCACACGCTTCGTGGGTACACTTGCATCTGGACGAAAAGCACACGGGAGCAGGCTCCCTAGCTGCCGCTGTGGCACCGCACACTGCTCACGGATGCAGGTGAAGTCAGTGACGGAGAACTCCCTTTCCATACTCCTATGATATTCCCAGGGGCTTACTGTGTGACATTGGCAGCTAAAATTGAATGTTGAATTTGACCTAAGGGCCGTAGCTGTCTATTATTCATTATTCATTAATAACAGTTATCATTTAATCTAAAAAATGATTCATGAATAAATGAAAAATATCCATCAGATCTACCCATATTTTCCAAATTATATGGTTTTGAAAAGTAAGACGTTCAATGTGCAATATTTTGAAATATATAAATAAATGAATGTTAAAATTAATGTAATATTTGTCCTTTTTGCTTGCAATTATCAAAACATTTGTTGTAGAAAATCAAAGTGCCCAGAGTTTGAATTAATTGCAATTTTCATTTTCTTTTGGTAATGCTGTAGCACCACTACAGCAGATCTAATGAAAAGATATGGATGACAATAAGTTGGTCTTTATGTTACATAATCTTGAGGGCCCCATCTGTAGGTAGGCCCCTGAGTTAAAAACATTTTAATGGCGTTTGAAGGGGTGATTTAGATTGCACTTCTATTTTATAGCCTAAAACTTGTGAGAGAGAGGTTTTGAAGAAAGGCAAAATGAATGCAGACATCCTGACAATTTAGGCCTCCGTTCACACCTGCAAGCCTTAGGGCTCAACTCTGATTTATTGCTCAGAGTCAGATTTTTTGATTGAGTGATGTTTTTGATTTTGCTTTTCCACACTGTCATGAAAAAATCACATCATCACATATCAGCAAAAAAAATGATCTGGGTCACTCTGGCGCGTCCTTGAGTCCCTAGTATCGGTGTCATCCTCCAAAAACATGACTTGGTGGTAGACTTCCACTCCCCACAAAGGTGGGGTTTGGAGTGGTAAAACATGACTTTCTGTCATACACTTGTAGTCTCCAAGCCCAAGCTGTAATAAATCCATGACAAATCATGCGAGACAGATAGTCT